GTCCGCATCTCCCGCTCCGCCATGCCGTTCTGCTGCGGGGTGTACGGGCAGGTTAGGTCGTGGACGATCCCCTTGCCGTCCACGAAGGCGGTGAAGGCCTTGCCGAGAAACTCCCCTCCTCGGTCAGAGCGTAGCTGCAACACCGACTTCTTCGTCTGCCTCTCCACCAGCACCAGCCACTTCTGGAACTCCAGCAGCACATCCGACTTCTTGGCGACCGGCCTCACCCACACGTAGCGGGACTTACGGTCCTTCAGCAGCAAGAAGTACAGGCTGCCGTCCTTGGCAGCCACCCGGAATGGCCCGCACAAGTCGATGTGGACGACGGCGAGCACGTCGGCGGCGTCGGAGCCTTGGTCGGGGAAGGTGTGCCTCGCCAGCTTCCCACCGACGCACGAGACACACGGTGAGTCGGTACCCGTCGCCGACTTGAGGTCCAGCCCAATGGCGACCTCGTTCTTCGCCGAGCTCCTGATGGTATCCAGGCCGACGTGCGCAAGGCGTGCGTGCATCCTGTCCGGCGTCGACTTCGCCTTGGAGACGATCGCCCGCAGGGCCACAACCTCCGGCGTGGGCGACGTCGACCTCGGTGAGCAGGGACGCAGGTCGGTGCAGAGGACTCGCCCGGAGTACGTCGCCCGACCAAGCACTTCTCCTGCTGCCGAGACAAGCAGCATCCCGTCGCCGTCCTCTTGAAACTTCACGCCATGCTCCTTCAGCTGACCAGACGACAACAGGTTTGCCCGCACACCCGGGACGTACAGCACGTCGGGGATGAGAACCTGCTTCCCGGCCTCGCCTTGCAACGCAACCGTGCCCCGGCCCTGGACGTCTTGCAGCGCCCCATTGAAGCCACGCACGTGCTTCAAGTCGCCGCTCGGCCCCATGTCGACGAAGACCTCCTTCGTCCCCATCAGGTGGTGGGAGCAGCCGCTGTCCAGTAGGACCACCGCCGGGTTCGCCTGCACTGCTGCTGCCATCGCCTGAAAGTCCTCACCGGCCTCCGGCGCCAGTGAGACGGTCGGCTCCACAACGCCGACCAGGGAGCACGACGCCGACTTGTCGCCGCTCCCCTTGCCGCCAGCAGAGGAGTCGGCGTCCTTCGCCGAGGTCGACGACTTGGTCGACTGCTTCTCCTTGCGCGGCTGACTTCCTCCTCGACGAGATCGACGACTGCCAGACCTCCCGCGGCCTCCCTTGTCGTCGTCGTCCGAGTCACTGCGGTTGGGGCACTCGAAGGAGAGGTGGTCGGGGTCGCCGCACAGCCAGCACTCCCGACGTCGACTTCCTCCTCCTCGGCCGTTGTCCTTGGTCGACTTCTTCTTGTCGACCTCCTTGGCCGACTTCGAGCCACCGCTACCACTGCCGCCAGACTGTCCGCGCTGCCCCGGTCGACCCCCCTGCTTCGCTGGGGCGACGAAGTTCGCCTGCGCCAAGAGCTCCTGGGACCGCTCAGCCTCCTGCATCGCCTCGTCTTGCAGGATGTACGAAGTCAGGTTGTCCTCGTTGAGCGTCGCCCTCGTGCTCGGCGCCATGGACAGCCGCTTCAACAGGTTGTAGCTGCTCCGAAGTCCCTGCATTACGTGGGTGACGTACGACGCCGTCGAGTACTGCGCGCCGGCCATCCTGATGGTGGCGAGAATTCGCCGGGCACGGTTGCAGTAGTCGGTCGCCGTCTCCTCGTCGCCCATACGCAGGTTCGTCAGCTGTCCCTCCAGCTGGGCGATGAACAAGTCGTCGGTGACCTGGTACGTCGACTCAATGAAGTGCCACGCCTGGTGGCCGGCGTCGAGGTACTCCCGGCACCACTTCAAGGCAATCTGCACGCCCGGCGAGCAGCACCTCGAGATGACCGTGAAGGTCAACAACTGCACGGCGCGAAACTCCGCACGCAAGTCGGGGTCGTCCGGCGTCTCCACGGTACCACGAGCAAAGTTGATCAGCCCGGCCATCTCCAGCTGTGGCTCGATGGCCTCCTTCCAGGTGAGGATGTCGGGTCGACCAGTGAGCGGTGGGGTGACCAGGATCCTGTCCGGCGTGAACTTGAAGTAGCCGTAGCTCGGAGCAATCCCGCCTGCCGTCACCTGAGTCGCCGACATCGGCGACAACCCGCTTCGTCGACCTCCGACGTCGCCCTGCGAGGTGCCAGTCGCCGCCGTCGACCGCATCCCTCGCGCCTGAACGCCGCCGACTTCATCGGCGTGTATCACACCTCTCTGCCTCGACGTGCCTCCCGCACTGCTGCCGACTTGGCCACCGCCGGCGTTGACGCCCACGTCGACGCCGCCCTCTGTGTTCACCGGTCGAGGAGACGCAGGTTGAGGAGGGTGCAACGTCGCCCACATATGGCGAATGCCAGCCTCCACGACCGCCCAGGGGATCGTTCCGTACTCCTGGGCTGCATGACGCGTCCTCGCGTCCTCCAGCTGTGCCTCCAGGGTCTCCATTCCCTAGTTGTCACCCACGCGTGACTGCACGGCTGCCGGCCTACGAACGACTTAGGTAAGTGACCTCTACGTCGACCCGACTGAAAAGTAAGTCGTGTGCCGTCCACGCTCACCGCACCATGCGGAGATAACTATAGCAACGGGAGCTAGGCTACGGGCTAGGCACGGGTGCTCGTGTGATCTCTGCGTTCGTTGGTTTTTAGTCATTTTCCTAGTGCACACACTGCTTGCTAGTTCACAAGGCAATTTGGCAAGAGTTTCACTAGAGAAAGTTGACAACAATGATACAATGAAGTTGGCTAGGAAAGACTACATCAGAGCTAGGATGCAAGCAGGTCGACTGCCAGCGCAGCACGGTCGACCGCGTGCCAGCACGACTTGGTCGACCGCACTCCAGCAGTGCAGAGACGCGGCTTGCCAACGCTGCAGGTCGACGGCGTGACAACAGCGCAAGTCGACGGCGTGCCAGCGTTGCTCCTGCAGTCCAGCATCGCACCCGCTTCGCAGGTGCTCGTAGATGATTGGCGTGCACTGCTTCGTCACCTGCACAGCGCACACACCAAGTCCACCTCGTGCTGACGACTGCATCTGATGCACCACGTCGACCTCGGGATACCATCACCGAGGTCGTCCTCGCCAAAACCACCTGGGCGACCTTCGCAAGCCTTCGCAGCACCTCGTCACCCAGGTAACTTGGTCGACCGGGCAACCAGGTCGACCAGAGGCTCCAGTGCGTGCCCGTCGACCACCCAGGTCGACGACCACTTCCGGTCGACCTCCCAAGGTCGACCACTGCCTCTGGTACGTGCCGGTCGACCTCCCAAGTCGACGGCCACCTCCAGTCGACCTCCCCAGGTCGACCACTATCCCCTGGTCGACCAGCTCCAAGTCGACGTCACTCCTGGTCGACCAGAAGGCCTGGTCGACGTCCCTGGTCGACCAGAAGGGCTGGTCGACTTCCCAGGTCGACCAGAAGGTCTGGTCGACGTCTCAGGTCGACCAGAAGGGCTGGTCGACTTCCCAGGTCAACCAGCCGAAGTTGGCGCCCTCCTGAAGTCGGCGCCCATGCAGTGGCTCCCCGTGCAGGTCGACCAACCTCGTCGACCAACTCGCCCACTGCTGCAGGTCGGCTGCACCCTACACCCAACCACGAAATCGGCTCCGCCCAAGCGAGGACGGGGCCAACATACAACTCCCGTTGACATCTGCTGACTCAGCTCATACGGGGATGCAGACGATTTCTTTTGCGACTATCCCTGAAGATTACGTTAGAGAGAAATTCCGAAGAACGGGGGAAGGGAAGAGGAACGTTCTATTGGAAGAGGAAGAGAAGTGTCAGGAGGCTGCGGGAGGAGGGCGGGAGGAGGGCGGGAGAAAAGCGTATCCGCTGTTTCTTTCTCGGATGCCTCCTGCTGTCATTCGCGCATGAGTGCTTCTTGCGACAGCGGCGCCGGGTGGTGCTCATCGTTGAAGTCATACTCGTTGTGGGATGTCAGAACGTGATCTTACACCACTCTCGCACCACTCACGCACCGCCCATCCTTATCCTCCTCACCATCGGACATTGCCGACGTCGGTGCCACCTTGCCGTTTTTTCTAGCCAACACGAAAGGTCACACGACTGAACGCTCAACTGTCAACTCTACCTTTATCGCTAGACCACTTGACAGTTCAAGATTGCAGTAACGTCGGTCGCGGGGTGAGCGGCAAGATCGCGCTTCGAGCAGTTAGTTCAATATGTTGAAGGCCGTGAGGGCGCTGGTCACTGGTGCCATGATTTGCAAGTTCTAAAACATGTTTTAGTAGCTCTTTGTATGATCAATGCATTTTATGGATCTTTTTCTGTAGTGGTCGTTAAAGCAACAGTATACTTTTGAAAGTTGGGTTTCCAAAAACCTTAGGAACTTGAAAAACTGGTTACATGATTACAGCCCCAACCCCCCGATTGACAGGCGAAGTGAGCCCCCAAACGCCCCACGTCCAGCTCCCCGCACTCACAGTTCAAAACCTTAGGAATCACAAAGGATACTAAAACTTCAGTTTAGTCGATAGCACACGCTCTCACACGGCGGTAGGTTATTTTGCGTAGACTAGGCAACATATGAACCGAACAGCTAGATTTAGGGTTAGAATCTGTTTTTGAACTGCGTAACGCTGTTTGCGCGCACGCGCGGACAAATCGCCACGCCTACGCACTCGCTTAGCGCCTCGCCACCTTAGACAAGACCGCCCCACGCCTCCTCTCGCTGCCTCACCGCGAGGCCATTAGCGACAGCGCTTCCCCTCCCCACATAGTCTCGTTTAGCCTCGACGCGCCAGCATCTGCCATCCCATCCCGTCCTCCCACTCCAGCTCGCCGTCCCCCGTTCGTCCCGCGCGGGGAGCCGCTGCTTCCCGCTCGCCGCTCGCGTACCCTCCCTTTCGCGTTCGCAGTCCGCCGTTCGCCCTCCGCCGGACGACATCCGGAGTCGTTCGGACGACTCCGCCTTCGCCCTCTGCCATTCGACGTCCGAAGTAGTCTCCCCTCACCGACCCACACTGCCTCGTTCGTTTCTAATTTATACCCATTCGTGGCTGCGAAAATGCCTCCATACTGGCTCGGTTCATCGGACGGGCCCCACGCCTCCTCTCGCGGGCCCGCCGCGACCACCGCCACGCCATATCCCCTTCCCGCCACGCCATATCCCCTTCCCGCCACGCCATATCCCCTTCCCGCCACGCCATATCCCCTTCCCGCCACGCCATATCCCCTTCCCGCCACGCCATATCCCCTTCCCGCCACGCCATATCCCCTTCCCGCCACGCCATATCCCCTTCCCGCCACGCCATATCCCCTTCCCGCCACGCCATATCCCCTTCCCGCCACGCCATATCCCCTTCCCGCCACGCCATATCCCCTTCCCGCCACGCCATATCCCCTTCCCGCCACGCCATATCCCCTTCCCGCCACGCCATATCCCCTTCCCGCCACGCCATATCCCCTTCCCGCCACGCCATATCCCCTTCCCGCCACGCCATATCCCCTTCCCGCCACGCCATATCCCCTTCCCGCCACGCCATATCCCCTCCCGCCACGCCATATCCCCTTCCCGCCACGCCATATCCCCTTCCCGCCACGCCATATCCCCTTCCCGCCACGCCATATCCCCTTCCGCCACGCCATATCCCCTTCCCGCCACGCCATATCCCCTTCCCGCCACGCCATATCCCCTTCCCGCCACGCCATATCCCCTTCCCGCCACGCCATATCCCCTTCCCGCCACGCCATATCCCCTTCCCGCCACGCCATATCCCCTTCCCGCCACGCCATCCCCTTCCAGCCACGCCATATCCC